TGGAGGTTGGAATGGCTTTCCTCTGCTGAGGCTGACCTCACCCTCTGTGGAAAATGCCTCCATGATCATGATCCATGAACACGTGTGTGCATAACGAGAGGCTCTGGTTCTACTGGTAAAGATTTCTCTATCCAAGGATGCCACCCGGGCCAGTTCCAAATTTCCAGCTGGGTATGAAGCACTTGGCAGAGACACCAGGTTGCTGCTTACTGGCATTTACAACCATCCTGTTTCACTGGGGAACTTCATCCACCTCCCACTTCCTAAGAAAATCCCTCTAGCTTGTAACTGTCTTTCGCCAAAACACATGACATCCTTAATATTTCATTATTATTCAATATTCAACATTCATCCTTAATATATCAAATATTTCATATTTGTCTCAGGACAATGAGCAAAACTCTTTGGTAGCAAAACTCTGCCCACTGATGGAGTTAGGGAGCAGAAGGCCCAAAGGAGTTTTTCATTTTCGACCTTACTCAAAAAGCAGACTCATACATACCAAAACATAAACCTCAGAGATTGAGTTATCTGGGGGTGTCAAGCCTGGAGAAGAGAAGGGGTTGGGGAGAGCTTGAATCCCCATCAAGGAGATTCAAAAGAGCTGGAGAAGGACTTTGGGCCAGGGTCTGGAGCGACACTAAAAGGGAGAAACTTTCCAACTGACAGAGGACAGGGTTACAGTGGATATTAGGAAGAAATTCTTGGCTCTAAGGAAGGTGAGGCCCTGGCACAGGTTGTCCAGAGAAGCTGTGGCAACTCCATCATTGGAAGTGTTCAAGGCCATATTAGACAAGGCTTGGAGAAACCTGGGATAGTGGAAGTTGTCCCTCGCCATGGCAGGGGGTGGAAGGAGATGGTCTTTCAGGTCCTTTCCCACCCAAACCATTCCAGACGGGATTGTGTGAGAGAAGGATTCTGCTCCCCCAGGACTGCCCTGGTTCCTGTGCCTGCACCCACCAGTTCCTCTGCCCATCCCAAGGATTTCCCTGCTGGCCCCACAGCCCGGTGCCGCTGTGCCGTGGGTGTCACAAGAGGTGTTGCATGGGGACAACGGTGCCATTGATTGCAACAGCCCCAGGAGGCCCCTCAGCCTCTGGCCCCGCAGCAGGGAGGGAGCAGGGCCAGCCCCAGCACCCCCACAGCCATGGGGCCCTCCCGCCTTGGCCCAGGCCACTTGTGCCAGCCCCACCCACTGGAAAATGGGAAAAAATGGCGTGTTTGGGGCACAGGGACACTCCCTGAGCTGGACTCTTCACACAAGACATTCCAGCTTGCTTTGTTACAGACAGACCTTGGTGTGCTCTGAAACAACACCTTTCTCAGGTAGGTCACTGGGGACTCACTTCCAGCCACCAAGACCCTTCCCTGCCCTCTTGCTCCTTCCTGGGTCAGTGCAGCACAGGGATGGGGACTGGGCTGGCTGGGAATCCTGGGAATGCTCTGGAGCTGGGGATGGATATTTGCCAGCAGAACTGGGAAGACTTTTCACACTTTTGGAAAGCAAAGGGGATTGTGCAGTGTGTTTGAGCAGCAAGCTTTGGGCTGGCTTGGGGGATGGAGTGCATTGGATAAGACCTCATTTAGCTTGGCCTCTCCAGGCACAAGGATTCCCCTCAATCCTTGACCCTGCTTTGCTTCTTGGTGTGTTCCCTCTGCAGCCACAAGAAGACCCAGGACAGGCATCAGCCATGAGGATCCTCTACCTGCTCTTGCCCTTGTTCCTCCTGCTGGTGCACAGTGCTGCAGGTGAGAGGGACAGAGGGGAGATGGCTGAGGTGGGGACCCTAACCTGAGGGGTTTTCAGGTCCTGGTAAGTGACCAAAATCCTCAGGTATTTATAACATTTGGGAGGGACTTGCTGTGACAAAGGTCTGGGCAGCCGAGGATCCAGCGCAGCAAGTCCTGTAGATCCTGCTGTTTTTTCCGTCTCTCTGTCTTTCCCCACATGCACATGTTGCTGTAGAAAAAATGAATTCTGACTGGAGAGTTTACGATGTTGGGTTTGGCGTTCAGTTCCCATACAAGACTGGGACTCAGAGCCAGCAGCAGCTGCACTGGAACCAGACATATTTTTGACATTTATGCCACACTCCCTTTGACCTCTTTCCTTTTTGTGCAGGATCCACCTTGGGTCCAACTAATGAGAAACAATGTAAGAAAGAAAAGGGATACTGCTCACTTCTGAACTGCAAATTCCCCTATGGCATCGCGGGAAAATGTTCCAGGTTTTACTTTTGCTGCAAAAAGTAAGTTTTGGATTACAAAAGTTGTTGTCATGGCAGAAGCTATTTAAGGGCCCTCAAGTAGCTAAAGGCTCAGGGCACCCTTGAAGATTCAAGGCAGAGCAGAAGGGAGGGAAGGGAAGGTGCTTGGAGATACCCTGAGAAGAGCTGCAGCAGCCCCAGATCAGCCAGGGCCTCCCCACTCTCCCCCAGTGCCCAGGTGTCCTTCAGGATTTCCAGAGGACTGACCAAAGTGACAAAAGAGGGAAACATTCCCTATCGTTGGGCAGCTCTGAGGACATGATCCCCACATTGCTGCATCTGCACAGCCCTGGAGCCAGGGCTGCCAGCACTGAGATAGCCCAGGCCCAACCTGGCTGCACTAAGGACTGCACCTCACCTCAACTGAGCCTGACTCTGCTGCACCTCACCCTGGGCATTGCAGGGCAGGGGAGAGACTGGCAGGGAAATGTGACACCAGCTGATACGCTGGTTTCCATTCTTTCTGCAGAATCTGGGGATAAGACTCTGAAAATTCTTGAGAAGAACGTCCCCCATGCTTCTGGCTGCTGGACTCATCTGCTGATGTCCCCAAGTGCTGATGTCCCCATGTGCTGATGTCCCCATGTGCTGATGTCCCCTGGCCTCGGTGGCTGTGCCATGCCCAGCTGGGCTGGCAGCAGCAGTGGCAGCTGCTCCTGCTGGGTGCTGCTGGGCTGGAGCCCTGTGGTGCCAGCCCCGGTGTCCTTGGGGCAGGGGCTGCTTTTCCTGCCTTGAATAAAGACGAGCACTTTGGCATTGCAGGGCTGGGCCGTGTCTGTGTGTCCTGGTGCTGCTGCTGCAGGGCTTGGTTGGGAGCAGCTGGGGACCCTGCCTGGTTCACTGGAGACTTTCCCTCTCAAGAATCACACCCATAATTTTTCTGATGTTGGAAAAGTCCTTTGAGAATATTGGGTCCAACCATTCCCCAAGGAACTCCAACACAAATACTAAAACATGGGCACAAGTGCCACATCCACAGAGCTTTGAAATTTCCTGCAGGAACGGTGACACCACCACTGCTCTGAACATCATGTCCCAAACAACCATCACCGTTTCTGCAAAGAAATTATTACTAATACCCAGTCTAATCCTTCCCTTCTGCTATTTGAGACCATTTCCTCTGCTCCATGTAATCTGGGATAAGAGACTGACCTCAAAAATATTTTTAATGCCATTGCTTTCCAGAAGTGTGAGATTTAGTGAAGGATGTTCAGAATATCTCTGCCTGCCTTGGCTTTTCCTTCAGCTCTGCTTGCCTGTCCTGGCACTGACACTGGGGCTGTTCCCTCAAGCTCCCTTTCCCTCTGCACTCAAGTGCTGCTCCCCCAGCCCAGGGGCTCCTTGGTCCAGAACATCTGGAGCCACACTGATGGTGGTGTGGAAAACCACCTCAGGGTTTCCCAAGAGCACACGGGGGGAAGTAAAGGCCAAGTGGGCATGCAGGAAATTTTATTTTCTTTGTCTCATTTCGAAACTCCCCAAAAGAGCTGTTGGTGTGAAATGAGTGGGAAAACTTTCCCCTCACTGTACAAAGCTGAGCACGATTGCAATATTCAGTCAGATCTTCCACATCCCACTCTGAATATAAGAGAGATAAAATGGGAGACCACAAGGAGGGAAAGCATTTCCTCATTTCTACTCTTCCCAACACCAACCCACCTCTCTTGTCCATCCCATCCCTCTCGTGCCCAGCCCGGTGCCGCTGTGCCGCGGGTGTCACAAGAGGTGTTGCATGGGGACAACGGTGCCATTGATTGCAACAGCCCCAGGAGGCCCCTCAGCCTCTGGCCCTGCAGCAGGGAGGGAGCAGGGCCAGCCCCAGCACCCCCACAGCCATGGGGCACTCCCGCCTTGGCCCAGGCCACTTGTGCCAGCAGCACCTGGGGCCTGTCCCACCCACCAGCACTGCTATAAACCCAGCCTGCTTGGGCCACTGCAGCATTGCCTGGCCCCAAGGCCATCTGCACACAGCCATTCCTCTTGCCTTTGCTGCTGCCTCAACACCCAGACCTTCTCCAGGCAGGTGAGTCTGGGTTCTCTCTCTGGATTCCTGCCCACTCAGGGTCCTGCCTGCCCCCATTGCCTTGGTGTCCCCTTTGCAGCTCTGTGAAGACCCAGGAGGATCAGCAGCCATGAAGACCCTGTTCCTGTTCCTCCCTCTGATCCTCCTGTTGGTCCAGGGTGCTGAAGGTGAGAGGGGAAGAGGGGAAAATTGTGGGAAGTGTAAGCCTGCTCCAGGGGGAATTCAGTGTCCCTGGAAGTGTCCATGTTTGTGGGAATGATGAGAAGGTAACTGGGAATTGAGGTGAAAGGGTTTTCTTGAGTGAGTTTCCAGATGGATACTGATTTGGGGTGGAGAGAACCCATAGAAACAGAACCCTGGTTTATTCTGTAAGTCAGGGATTTAGTAGTTGACAAATGCCTGCCTGCCAGTTCTGCTGGTCCAGGCAGAGGTGGGAACACAGCTGGAAGACTGCGCAGCTATTCCTCAACCTCCTGCTGCTCCTTTCTACTCTGTGCTGTGCTGCGCCTGCAGTTTAAGGGGACAGGGACCTTTCAGGTAAGATACATTTCAATTGGAGATGTGGCTGTGGGGGGATTGGGCCTGAGCCCTTCTCTTGGCCTTAAATGCACCAGCACCAGGGAGCATCAGCCTGTCTATAACCACAGCCTGACTTCTCAGAATATTCCTTTAATTGTTCCATGTGTCTGTCCCCATGGGAACAGGAAATGCAGATGCATGCAGGAGACGACGAGGATTCTGCTATAGACGTTCTTGTTTTCGTGGTACACGTTTAGTGGGAAGATGTTCAGCAAGCCTTGTGTGCTGCAGAAGGTAAGGCCCAGATCTTTGGCTGAAATAATATTTTCCTCTTTTTTCCTCAGAAATCTCTGTTACTAAATTCTTTCTTGACTATGTGGGAATCCTTGAAATTCGAGGCTTTTGGGAAATCTGAAAAAGGCTGTCCTCAGGAACAGCAGAACTAAAATGTAGCCCTAAGAAGTTGCTGTAAGAGTTCTCAGCTGAAAAGTTATATTAGAATTAGTTAGGACAAATAATATAATGGTCTGTGTATTTGCTCTTGTCTGGAATAACATCCTAAGCTAGAGAAAAGTATATTGAGCAAGATATTAGGAAGCTTTCAGCTTAATAATGGAGCTCTGGGCATTGTGTTTTCAGGCTTTCAAGCAGGTATAGTATTCAAAATAAACAAGCATTGTTTTAACCAAAGACATATGTGCTTATAGTGGTTGGAAAAAACTACTGTCAATATGCTTTTGCTTTGTGTGATTGGTCAGAAAACACTTAAGTGAGTTGTTATACTGAGTTCTTTGTCTGCTGCTGAGGACATAAGCTGCTGGCATCTTCCCACAGTCATGACAATGCAATGGGACTGACGCTGGAAAATAAAACAGCTCGAGAGGCGTTCCTCAGAAGTCCCATCCCATTCGTGATTTTGTACCTAAACCTGACACAGGCAATAGACACCTCATGATAAATACTCTGCAGCATTTAGGCTTTGAGAGAGATGCTCAGGGAGGGAGAGAATAGTCCTTGAGGGTTTGATCTCCCCTCAGTGGGCCTGCAGCAGCCCCAGGTCAGCCACGGACTCCCCACTCTCCCCCAGTGCCCAGGGCCTCAACCAGGCTCTCCGGAGGACTCAACAAAGCCACCAAAGAGGGAAATATTCCCTGTCCTTGGGCAGCACTGAGGACATGATCCAGGTTTTGCTGCAACTGCACAGCCCTGGAGCCAGGGCTGCCAGCACTGAGATAGCCCAGGCCCAACCTGGCTGCACTAAGGACGGCACCTCACCTGCCCTGAGCCTGACTCTGCTGCACCTCACCCTGGGCATTGCAGGGCAGGGGACAGAGTGGCAGGGAAATTTGACACCAGATGATGTGCTTGTTTACTTTCTTTCAGCAGGATCTGGGAATGAGAACCTGACATTCCAAAGAAGAACCTCCCCCTCACTTCTCCTCTGGAAAGTCACCTCCTGATGTCTCCTGGCCTCGGTGGCTGTGCCGTGCCCAGCTGGGCTGGCAGCAGCAGTGGCAGCTGCTCCTGCTGGGTGCTGCTGGGCTGGAGCCCTGTGGTGCCAGCCCCGGTGTCTTTGGGGCAGGGGCTGCTTTTCCTGCCTTGAATAAAGACGAGCACTTTGGCATTGCAGGGCTGGGCCGTGTCTGTGTGTCCTGCTGCTGCTGCAGGGCTGCTGTGCCTGCTGGCCCTGGGGCTGCCCCTGCCTTGGTGGCAGCAGAAGGCCCTGGGCATGGAGCTGGGGCTGAGCAGCGCCTGTGTCCCTGGGGATGCTCCTGCCTGGCCGTGCTTTGGGGACGCTGAGCCTGGCACTGCCTGCAGGGCCAGCCTGGCTGGGCTGCCTGTGCTGAGGCTGCCCTGCAGATGCCCCCTCTGGGGGAACAGGAACATTGTCCTGCTGTTTATAGGGCCCAATATCAGCCTGTTCTCCAGACACAACTTCTATGTCAGAAATACATGGACTGGGAACTATGGACATAGTGGAAAAGCCTCATAGCTAAAATAGCCTCAGCATTCTTACAAGGTCCCAGATCCTGTCCCAACTGTAAAACCTGGAGCAGGAGCCATTCCTTAATAATGATATGGTGTGGGGGATGTCATGGAAGACATCATAGACAGGTGAATCCTGAGCTTGATAGGGGTAAATAATTACCTGAACCAAAAGGTTTCCTTTGTCTTCTTTCATCAGTAATATGTCTATATGGAATACTCAGTATCCACAGCACAGTTTCACAGAAGCAACATTTCAATCCTCCATCTTTCCATACATTGGATGATACAAATGACTATTTGTCCTGCTGCTTCTTGCAGCATCAGGAGGGGAAGAGCACAGAGGCCAGGCTGGAGTCACCAGTAGCCCAAAAGTTCCTTTCCCTCTTTTGGCTCCTGCACCAGAGAAAATGAGGCTTTGGTTTCCTCTTCTGACACCTCTGACAAGGATTCCAAACACAGGGCCTTGTGTCATCCTGCCTTGTGTAAGAACCCTGCGGTGTTGTGGTTTGCTGGACACATCCAGGGACACATGCAGGGACATTGGGGCACATGCAGGGACACACACACAGACCCTGCTCACTGGAAACCAGCACCAATCTGCTGCTCTGACATAGAATGGAACATTTTCTGAGTCTCTTCATGGAACATTCCCAGTGAACCCACCACCAGTAATGAGTGCAAGTGGCACCTCTGCTTCTGCTGAGCATCCAGAATCCCTCTCCTGCATTTTTTATGATTGTCGCCTTGTCACTGTCACTTCACATCTCAGGGTTGTGAAGCAGAAAAAGTTGAGACACTGGGTTCCACTTGCAAATCCCCAGGATATCTGCTCCGCTTGGGGGGACCAGATTGCTCTGCCAAATCCCTGGAGAAGGAGGTGCCAACTTGGGCACATGGCACAGACTCTCCTGCCTGGCAAGGACTGTCACTTCTCCCAGTGGCATGGCTGCCATCAAACTCGCTGGATTCACAAGTGATGGCTGCCTCCAGCTTGTATTTCTTCACCTTGGTTGGCATTAGAAGGAGGCACAGTTTTGTTGGACCACCTGGTTTACAGAACTTGTCATCTATCCTGGTGTTCCTCTGAGTTTATCAGAACAGCCACTAGAGACAACCCTCCTTAACCCCCTGACATGGCAGATGCACAGACCTGTTATATATTAAGATGTTCTTGAATTTTCCAATTTTTTTTCCTTCATAAACTGCGAATATTGACACATCCCACCCCATCTGGTTGTGCAATTCAAGTACGAAACACAAATGATAGGAGAGAAGGACATGTTTTCACGTTGACATAGTTTACATTAGATATATTTTAGGAAGGAATACTTCTCTGTGAGGGTGATGAATAACTGGCACAGGTTGCCCAGAGAAGCTGTGGCTGTCCATGGCTCCCTGAACTGTCCAAGGCCAGGATAGAAGGGGCTTGGAGCAACCTGGGATAGTGGAAGGTGTCCCTCACTATGGCAGGGGGTGGAAGGAGATGATCTTTCAGGTCCTTTTCCACCCCACACATTACAGTACTGATCCTGTGAGCCCATGCAAGAAGGATTCTGATCCCCCAGGACTGCCCTGATTCCTGTGCCTGCACCCACCAGTTCCTCTGCCCATCCCAAGGATTTCCCTGCTGGCCCCACAGCCCGGAGCCGCTGTGCCGCGGGTGTCACAAGAGGTGTTGCATGGGGACAACGGTGCCATTGATTGCAACAGCCCCAGGAGGCCCCTCAGCCTCTGGCCCCGCAGCAGGGAGGGAGCAGGGCCAGCCCCAGCACCCCCACAGCCATGGGGCCCTCCCGCCTTGGCCCAGGCCACTTGTGCCAGCCCCACCCACTGGAAATGGGGAAAAACCGGCGTGCTTGGGGCACAGGGACACTCCCTGAGCTGGACTCTTCACACAAGACATTCCAGCTTGCTTTGTTACAGACAGACCTTGGTGTGCTCTGAACCAACACCTTTCTCAGGTAGGTCACTGGGGACTCACTTCCAGCCCACCAAGACCCTTCCCTGCCCTCTTGCTCCTCCCTGGGTCAGTGCAGCACAGGGATGGGGACTGGGCTGGCTGGGAATCCTGGGAATGCTCTGGAGTTGGGGATGGATATTTGCCAGCAGAGCTGGGAAGACTTTCCTGACCTCAGGGGATTGTGCAGGGTGTTTGTGCAGCAAGCTTTGGGCTGGCTTGGGCAATGGGCAGCATTGGATAAGACCTCATTTAGCTTGGCCTCTCCAGGCACAAAGATTCCCCTCAATCCTTGACCCTGCTTTGCTTCTTGGTGTGTTCCCTCTGCAGCCCCAAGAAGACCCAGGACAGGCATCAGCCATGAGGATCCTCTACCTGCTCTTCCCTTTGTTCCTCCTGCTGGTGCACAGTGCTGCAGGTGAGAGGGACAGAGGGGACATGACTGAGGTGGGGACCCCCACCTGAGAGGTTTTTCAGGTCCTGGTATGTGACCGGAATTCTCTGGTATTTTTGACGTTTGGGAGGGACTTGATATGAGGCAGGTCTGGGCAGCTGAGGATCCAGCACAGCAAGTCCTGTACATCCTGCTGATGTTTCCCTCTGTCTTTCCCCCTACAGACATGTTGCTGTAGAAAAATGAGCTGTTGATTGGAGAGTTTACGATGTTGGTTTTGGTGTTCAGTTCCCACACATGATTGGGACTCAGAGCCAGCAGCAGCTGCTCTGGAACCAGACACTTTTTTGACATTTATACCACACTCACTTGGCCCTCTTTCACTGAGCAGGATCCTCCTTGGAGCCAACAAACAGGGAACAATGTCAGCGAGAAAATGGCTACTGTGGCTTTGTGAAGTGCAGGTTCCCCTTTGTCATTATAGGAAGATGTTCCACATTCTTCTTTTGCTGCAAAAAGTAAGTTTTGGAATTACAAAAGCTGCTGTATTGGAAGAAGGTGTTTAAGGGCCCTTGAGTGGCTAGAGGCTTGGTGCCCCTGAGGACTGAAGGCAGAAAGGAGGGGAGGGAACGCAAGGTGCTTTGAGATACCCTGAGAGAGGCAGCAACAGCTCCAGGTCAGCCAGGGCCTCCCCACTCTCCCCCAGTCCCAGAGGGCTCATTCACGTTCTGCAGGGGACTGACCAAAGCCACCAAAGAGAGAAACATTCCCTGTCCATGGCCAGCACTGAGGACATGATCCCAAACTTGCTGCATCTGCACAACCCTGGAGCCAGGGCTGCCAGCACTGAGATAGCCCAGGCCCAACCTGGCTGCACTAAGGACTGCACCTCACCTGCCCTGAGCCTGACTCTGCTGCACCTCACCCTGGGCATTGCAGGGCAGGGGAAAGAATGGCAAAAAATGTTATACCTGGTGATGTGCTTGTCTGTTTATTCTTACAGTCGCTGGGGATGAAACCCTGAGATTGCCAAGCAGGAGACATGGCCCTCGCTTCAGGCTGCTGGACCCACCTGCTGATGTCCCGATCTGCTGATGTCCCCATGTGCTGATGTCCCCTGGCCTCAGTGGCTGTGCCGTGCCCAGCTGGGCTGGCAGCAGCAGTGGCAGCTGCTCCTGCTGGGTGCTGCTGGGCTGGAGCCCTGTGGTGCCAGCCCCGGTGTCTTTGGGGCAGGGGCTGCTTTTCCCGCCTTGAATAAAGACGAGCACTTTGGCATTGCAGGGCTGGGCCGTGTCTGTGTGTCCTGCTGCTGCTGCAGGGCTGCTGTGCCTGCTGGCCCTGGGGCTGCCACTGCCTTGGTGGCAGCAGAAGGCCCTGGGCATGGAGCTGGGGCTGAGCAGCGCCTGTGTCCCTGGGGATGCTCCTGCCTGGCCGTGCTTTGGGGACGCTGAGCCTGCCACTGCCTGCTGGGCCAGCCTGGCTGGGCTGCCTGTGCTGGGGCTGCCCTGCAGATGCTCCCTCTGGAGAATTAGAATCCCTGTGCTGCTCCTGCCAGTCCCAGATTTCCCTTGTCCCTGGCAGCCACAGCTTCATGGGCAGAGGTGTGTTATGGGATGTAACTCTTGAGTGGACACGGCCATTGTGATCCATAGGAGCTGCTTTTGTTGCTCTTCCTTGTCCTTTATGAGCACCACAGCTCTCCCTGCTGTGACTGTGCTGCTCTACAAGCCATCCCAGCAGAGGCAGCAGGAGGAAGGTGTTTACATTTTGGGCTGGGTGACCGGTGGAAAGGTGCCATTGCTATGGAAATGACCACATTTTTTTCCCATGGGAGTATGCAGAATGTCCTGGCCTCTCTGCCCATCTCAGTCTGGGATGGCAATTCTCTGGTCCATGAAAGGCAGGGGCCTCTCTCTGTTTGCAAAGCAAAGCTCAGGTGCTGGCATTTGAATGCTTCACTGCATGTGTGGGTCCATGTACTTGTGGGTAGAAGAGTTACTAGGGGGCCTGCCTGGCTCAGGGACAGCTTTGTCTCCCAGGTATCAGAGAGTCATAGAATTAGTGATGTTGGAAAGGCCCTTCAAGCTCATTGAGTGCAACCATTGCCCCAGCACTGCCACATCCACCACTAAACCAAGTCCCTAAATGCCACATCCAGATGGCTTTGAAGTACTCCAGAGCTGGAAATTCCACCACTGCCCTGGGCAGCCTGTCCCAATGCTGATTACTGATTCTGCAAAGAGACTGTTCCTAATACTCAATTGAATCATTCCCTGGTGCTGATTGTGGATATTTCCTCTGGTCAATTGTTACCTGTGAGAAGAAACCAACACTAAAAACTTTCTGTTGCCATTGTTCTCTAGAACTGGATAGTTTGGTGAGGGATCTTCATATCAACACTGCCTGCTGTGGCATTTCCTTCCCCTGTGCTAAACCTGAAATTTTATTTTATCCCTCTTATATACAAACTATGCAGACAAGGCTGTTGAGGTGAAATGGGAGATAAGCCTTTCCCCTCACCATACAAACCTGAGCACATTTGCAGTATTCAGTCAGATCTTCCACATCCCACTCTGAGTATTTGCAGAATTGATAAAATGAGAGGACACAAATAAGCAAACCATTTCCTCATTTCTACACTTCCCAACACCAACCCATCTCTCTTGTCCATCCCATCCCTCTCATGCCCAGCCCGGTGCCGCTGTGCCATGGGTGTCACAAGAGGTGTTGCATGGGGACAACGGTGCCATTGATTGCAACAGCCCCAGGAGGCCCCTCAGCCTCTGGCCCTGCAGCAGGGAGGGAGCAGGGCCAGCCCCAGCACCCCCACAGCCATGGGGCCCTCCCGCCTTGGCCCAGGCCACTTGTGCCAGCCCCACCCACTGGAAATGGGGAAAAACCAGCGTGCTTGGGGCACAGGGACACTCCCTGAGCTGGACTCTTCACACAAGACATTCCAGCTTGCTTTGTTACAGACAGACCTTGGTGTGCTCTGAACCAACACCTTTCTCAGGTAGGTCACTGGGGACTCACTTCCAGCCCACCAAGACCCTTCCCTGCCCTCTTGCTCCTCCCTGGGTCAGTGCAGCACAGGGATGGGGACTGGGCTGGCTGGGAATCCTGGGAATGCTCTGGAGCTGGGGATGGATATTTGCCAGCAGAACTGGGAAGACTTTCCTGACTTCATTGGATTGTGCAGTGTGTTTTGGGCAGCAAGCCTTGGGCTGGCTTGGGCAATGGACAGCATTGGATAAGACCTCATTTAGCTTGGCCTCTCCAGGCACAAGGATTCCCCTCAATCCTTGACCCTGCTTTGCTTCTTGGTGTGTTCCCTCTGCAGCCACAAGAAGACCCAGGACAGGCATCAGCCATGAGGATCCTCTACCTGCTCTTGCCCTTGTTCCTCCTGCTGGTGCACAGTGCTGCAGGTGAGAGGGACAGAGGGGACATGGCTGAGGTGGGAACCCTCACCTGATGGGTTTTCCTGGTCCAGATAAGCGACCACAATTTTTAGGTATTTATAACATTTTGGAGGGACTTGCTGTGACAAAGGTCTGGGCAGCTGAGAGTCAAGCACAGCAAGTCCTGTAAATCCTGCTGATCTTTCCCTCTGTCTTTCCTCATATGAACATGTTGCTGTAGTAAAAATGAACTCTTGACTGGAGAGTTTACAATGTTGGTTTTGTTGTTCAGTTCCCATTCAAGACTGGGACTCAGAGCCTGCAGCACCTGCTCCTGAACCAGGCACATTTTTGGCTTTTTTGCCAAACTCACTTTGCCCTCTTTCTCTGAGCAGGATCCTCCTTGGCACCAACAAACAAGAAACAGTGTGAGAGAGAAAAGGGTTACTGTGGATTTCTGAAATGCCAGTTCCCCTTTGTCGTCAAAGGAAAATGTTCCAGGTTCTTCTATTGCTGCAAAAAGTAAGTTTTGGAATTACAAATGTTGCTGTCATGGCAGAAGGTGTTTAAGAGCCCTGAGTAGCTAAAGGTTCCGGGCTCTTTGGGACAGAAGACAGAGCTGAGGGGAGGGAGAGGGAAGGTGCTTGGAGATACCCAAAGAGGAGCTGCAGCAGCCCCAGGTCAGCCAGAGCCTCCCCACTCACCAAAGCCACCAAGGACTGAAACATTCCCTGTCCTTGGGCAGCACTGAGGACTTGATCCAGGTGTGGCTGCATCTGCACAGCCCTGGAGCCAGGGCTGCCAGCACTGAGATAGCCCAGGCCCAACCTGGCTGCACTAAGGACGGCACCTCACCTGCCCTGAGCCTGACTCTGCTGCACCTCACCCTGGGCATTGCAGGGCAGGGGAGACAGAGGCATGGAAACTCACACCAGCTGATATTCTTGTCTCCTTTCTTCTTATAGTGTTTGGGGTTGAGACCCTGAAAATTCCCAAGCAGAAAAAGCCTCTCGCTTCTCGCTGCTCAACCCACGTGCTGATGTCCCCATGTGCTGATGTCCCCATGTGCTGATGTCCCCTGGCCTCGGTGGCTGTGCCGTGCCCAGCTGGGCTGGCAGCAGCAGTGGCAGCTGCTCCTGCTGGGTGCTGCTGGGCTGGAGCCCTGTGGTGCCAGCCCCGGTGTCCTTGGGGCAGGGGCTGCTTTTCCCGCCTTGAATAAAGACGAGCACTTTGGTATTGCAGGGCTGGGCCGTGTCTGTGTGTCCTGCTGCTGCTGCAGGGCTGCTGTGCCTGCTGGCCCTGGGGCTACCACTGCCTTGGTGGCGGCAGAAGGCCCTGGGCATGGAGCTGGGGCTGAGCAGCGCCTGTGTCCCTGGGGATGCTCCTGCCTGGCCGTGCTTTGGGGACGCTGAGCCTGGCACTGCCTGCTGGGCCAGCCTGGCTGGGCTGCCTGTGCTGGGGCTGCCCTGCAGATGCTCCCTCTGGGGGAATAGGAACATTGTCCTGCTGTTTATAGGCCCAGATATCATCCTGTTCTCTGGGCCCTACTCCCATGGCAGAGGGACATGGACTGGGAACTGGGGACATAGTCGCAAAACCTCACCGCTAAGATATCTGCAGATTAGTTCCAAGGTCCCAGCTCCAGTCCCTGCTGCAAAATCTGCAGCAGGATCCATTCCTTAAAGTTGTGTGGTGTGGGGGATGTCATTGAGGACAACATAGACCTACAGATAATGCGCACATGATTAATGAGCTTGATAGGGGTAAAATTATTAACTGAACCAAAAGGTGTCCTTTGTCCTCTTTCACCTGTATTATGTCCGTATAGAATACTCAACATCCACAGCACAGTTTCACTGTAACTTCACTTGAATCCTCCACCTTTCTTTACTTTTGATGATAGAAATTATTATTCTTCCTGCTGCTCCTTGCAAAATCAGGAGGGGAAGTGCACAGAGGCCAGGCTGGAGTCACTAGTAGCCCAAAAGTTTCTTTCTCTCTTTCTCCTCCTGCACCAGAGAAAATGAGGCTTTGGTTTCCTCTTCTGACACCAAAGACAAAAATTTCCAACCCAGCACAATATGTTATTCCACCTTGTGTAGGGACCCTGCGGTGTTGTGGTTTGCTGGACACATCCAGGGACACAGGGACATATGCAGGGACATATACAGGGACACAGGAACACATGCAAGGACACACACACTGACCCTGCTCACGGGAAACCAGCACCCATCTGCTGCTCTGGCATAGAATGGAACCTTTTCAGTGTCCCTTCAAGAAACCCTCCCAGTGAACCCTCCATCGGTAATGAGTGCAGGTGGTGCCTCTGCTTCTGCTGAGCATCCAGAATCCCTCTCCCACTTTTTTATGATTGTCACCTTGTCACTGTCACTTCACATTTCATGGTTGTGAAGTAGAAAATGCCAAGATATTCCACTTGCAAATAGCCAGCACCTCGCCCCTTGTAGTTTGGGGAGACCATATTGTTCTGCCAAACCCCTGGAGAAGGAGGTGCCAACTTGGGCACATGGCACAGACCCTTCTGCCTGGCAAGGACTGTCACTTCTCCCAGTGGCATGGCTGCCATCAAACACACTGGATTCACAAGTGATGGCTGCATCCAGCTTGTATTTCCT